GGAGGCCGGATTTCGGCTGTATGCATCTACTGATACCACTATGATAATTTCGAGAATATCAATTTTTGGAAACAATATATAGGGGGCTCGATAAAACCAATCAAGTTTCATTCAGTTTTAAACAGAGATAATTGATCGTTTTCCAAAATAGAACACCCTGTACTTTTTCATTTGTATGAAATATTTCAACATTTCACTACATATTTCATCAGAGGTATATTATACGAAAACCAGATTTTTTACAAATTATACCCAGTTCATTTATTTATTGTTACCACAAAAAATATCATTTATTTTTGTACAATTACTTAAAATGTTTTCAATATGAACAATAACGCCTAAATTTTTCATTGAATAGTGAAGTCCAAAATATGTTCAAAATTACAACCATTTTCTGCAACTCATAATGTCAGTCTTCTTTTAAAACGAATTCTCTACACGTTCCAGCATATCCGAAAGCTCTAGTGATTCTTCGTTTCATGTCTTCTATAAATGTTGGAGAAGTTTGGTATACAATACATTTGATATACCCCTATAAAAAAACCATTTTGGTCAGGTCAGGTGATCTGGGTGGCCACGCCACAGGCCCACCCCTACCTATTCATTTTTGATTGAAATGCTCGTTGAGGTATTCCCGTACCTCAGTTTCAAAATGTGGTGGTGTACCGTTTTATTGTAGCCACATTCTTAGATATTTTCTTCCAGTGATATGCTCATCCAAAATATACGGACCGATAATTTTTTTCCGAGAATTCCACACCGAACATGCAGTGACCATTTTCCCGATTGATCTTTCCTAAGCCCCATCGGCAAAATTGAACACGTTTTTCAGAATCTCTTCCTCTTAACTGCAAAAAAATTGAGCAGTTTACAAAATTGTTTTCTCTGATAGCAATGGACCGAGGGAATCTTGTTGTACAGTAGTACTTTGAATACATATCATCATGGAGATTACCAAACTGACAATACTTATATCTTCAATTGAAATTTCAAATTCGTAAGGAAGCTTTGTTTCCCCTACAGTTTCCCCTACACGATTTCTTGAAAAAATATGAAACTCATGAATGAAAAACATTCAACGCATTCTCAGACAAAATTTGTTTGACGAAGGAAGATAGAACTTATATAATCATTTCTCTATGCTTCAATTCGACTTGCTATAAGATAATGAATGTCGTTTTCCAGTTTACCTTTCCAAAAGAAATTTCCTCAGATATTGTTTATACAAAAAAAAATTCAATGAAAGGGCGAAGTTCAGCCGAGGCTGTTTTACAACTTAACCTAGGGGATACCTTGTATTATACAGGGTGTAACTGAATAAGTGTAAAACATTTGAGGAGGTCATTGCTCATCGGAAAAAAGATAGAATCTTTCATTTAAAGAAACTTCATTGGAGCATCTCTTGTTAAGATACAGCCCCTTAAAGGGGGTACATAAAATTTGTATGACAATTTTTTTCACAAGCACTAAAAAGGTTACAATATTGAAATTAACCTGACGTTTTGTACTACCAAAAAGAACTCAGCCTGTAATTTATTTGGTTTACCCCATGGTTGAAAGGGGTGGAAAACGCAATTCATTGGTAAGTGAGTAGTTCATAAATCATTGTAAAACTGAGAATAAAACAAAGGTTATAAATTTCAGAGTAAATATTAAAAATCTGTTTAGCTTAAATAAGGTGAAATATATAGCAACACATATTTATATTGTTGTAGAGAGTTTCTATGATTTTAATTTCTTCACACTTCCTTCTACCCAAGTATATATCTTCAAAAAATTGAACCACTCTTATATTTGTCCTTGGAAGGTTCTGGATGGATTTGAGAACTTTCTGTGGATTCCTCATTGAGTATGAGAGTTGAAAAGTTTGTCTGCGGATCATTTATTTATAGAAAAACTTGTTTCTGTTTACCTTGATATCGGCACAATTATCCAGAGTTTCTCAATTCATACATTCATTTCAGATTCTTCTGTTCGGCTTTTTGTCCATTGCACTTGCAGCTGATGTACCGGCTACTACTCCAATTCCCTCTATCTTCAATCAAGGATATTACAGAAATCAATTGTATTCAAATAGGTTCAATCCTTATTACAACAACTTCAAAGGAAACAAATACTATCAACCCGATTATCGATACAATCAAGCTGGTTATTTCGACAAAGACTACCAGAAATACAATCCAGGTAGCTATTACAACAGAGACTACTACAACAGAGATTATTATAACAAAAACTACTACAACAACGAGTACTACCAGAAATATATTCATGATGCTAGAAATGCTGGCATTCTCCGTTTTGTAAACGATGTTCAACCTGATGGCAGCTACCAATATAGGTAAGTTTTCAATAAGAATTTTCAGTATACTGTTATTTTTCTTGTCTTTTCATTGAGGAAAAAATACTTGATCACTTATTTGAAAGATGCAAATGGAGCAAATATATACATTTATTTGTCTCATCTTTCAAATTATTGTGCAACATCTTCAAGTCAATAGTGAACTGTGAAATTTGCAGTTCTATCAAGATTTTTTCAATAAATGATTTTTCTGCAGTTTCGAAACACAAAATGGAATTGCTGCTGAAGAACAAGGAGCAGTTAGGGTGGCAGCAGATCACACAGCTCCTGTTGTCGCACAAGGATTCTATCGCTATACTTCTCCCGAAGGAGTTCCAGTTGAGGTTAGATACACTGCCGACGAATTTGGATACCATCCACAAGGAAGTGTAATTGCTGGCCCAGGTCGTGTCTTTGGTTATAAGAGTGCTGCTGACATTCCAGCTGCTGAGAAAAAATGATTTCATGAGACAGTTCATACTGTTTTGTTCCTTCGAACTTCGAATTGTGATCCTATTACTACCTTTACTATTAAATAGCGCTTAACTTACACCCATGTTGTTTAATATGCCCTTAAAACTCATTCAAATTTTTTCTCTATATTCTATGTTCTATCTTATCTATTTCAACTTGAAAAAATGGCTGGTAATCAGTCAGAAGATTAATTATTACCCCTACTGATGATTTTTCATACACTGCTCCACACAATTTCGATAATTTTTCATACACTGCTCCACAATATCTCGAGAATTTTTCATTCACTGCTCCACACTATCTCGATAATCTGAGAATGTGGTGCCGTGACATTTTCCTCAAAGTTAAAGTCTCACAGTCAAACGAATTCGTGAAAATGTCTGCATCTTTGATACTTGAGAGTAATCTCCAGATAGAATGAAGGGATTACGGTATTGGAAGCAAACTATTTTATCCCCTAGTATGTTTTACCTTGAAAATGGGTTGTTCCATCGCGAGTGGCAAGCAGTGTATATGACTTTGGGTTTTCATGACAAAATTCTGATTTTCTATGACGAGTACGTGTTTTGATGTCAAAGCAAAAAAAATACTTCAATAATTACGGAAAATACGGGGATGTTTCCATGAGAAGTCAGACAAATTCGGATTTTTCAGGACTGAAATTTTTTCAGGGAAAAAGTGTACTTGTAGTAAGTTGCTAGTCTTGATCATGAATCTGTAGGAATTTTGAACCTATTTTGCTTCTTAGTGTGTTTTACAATAAAAATGACCAACCCCATTTTAGGTGGTTGGTACTTTTTGAGCATTCTACCTCGATTATTACGGAAGATACAGGGGTGTTTCCATGAGAAGTGAGACACACTTTACAATCGTTAAATTTCACACATAAGCTCGATAGGTGTACATATATGTGTATATAAATTAATTCATATTGATAATTATAAAAACAGATCAAATACATGTAGTCGAAAGTTCAAAGTCTGCTGGAACTGCAGCATTGTCGAAAAATTAAAACGAAAAAAACGAAAAATTAAAACGAAAAAAATACTAAAATCTTGGTAACAGCTATATGTTTAGGCCAAGCAACGAAAGATTACCGTTGTACTTCTTTTTTGATGAAAAGAATTAGTTTTGCTATTCAACGTGCTAATGCTGCTTTGATCCTTCAAACTGTTCCTCCTTCAATAATTTTGATGAGATCATGCATTGCCCTCATTTCAGTACGGAACTGAAATCTCTTCGAAACAAGCCGAGATATTTGTATATCAAGGTTAATTCGCAAGTGATTGATCCACTATCTTCTTTTTCAGTGGGATCAATGCACTTGAGTCATTCTTGGCCTTCCAAATATGAGCTGCAGTCCTCGTGGTTTTGGTTACCTTTCAGTGGAAGAGATTCGTGAAGCAAGAGCCGAATCGATCCCTCTACAAAAAACCTTCATCACTTGGAAGGATCGATTGCAGCTTGAGAAATGGTTTTGATGCATATTCTGTGAAACATGTTCTTCCTTAAGAATCATTAAACAGTTGTCCTGAAAATCTTGAGAAAAAAATTGGATAGATAATCTAAGAAACACTTGCTACATAATTAGCATTTTACAAGTGTTGTTCATAATGAAGGATTCAAGAATGAGGTTTTAACAATGAACTAAAACGAGAATGCTTCCCACTCATTCAACAAACTGAAACGAAAGATCATACAGTTGCAGTTTTGTAAGAATGTATCATCTTTCCCTCCAACCGATTTCCTGGAGTCTTTGAAGTCCACTAGATACTCGTTAGGACAACAAGAGGGATGCTCCGAATTCTTGAGGTTCTTGTTGAATACTCTTCGTGAGAAAAAATTAGCAGAATCAATACTCCTGACCGCTCTGGATTGAATGATTCCATACAGTCTATCTAGTCTTGTGTTTGTAGATCTTTTTCTGCAAAAATCCTCACTTATTCACTTTTTAGTACATGTTCAAGTGGTAGCAAAAACGTATGTGACTTTCTGGAACTTCAATTAGCGTTTCCTAATACGACTGATAACCAGTCCATGCGAAGCTTATTGTTAAATCATCTGAAAATGAAACTTTTTACAGGTGATGATCAATTGTATGGCCAAACATGCGTCAAACTAACTGACTATTATAAGATAACAAGTATAGCTGAGACGCCAGTCAATCCAATAATAACACTGATGATCTTCAAACATGACTCAACCTCTTACGGAAGCACCAAACTCTTACGAAGGTTCGAAATAGATGAATAATTCAATCTAGCAGACCTCTGTTATAATCATGTTGTAGTCATTGTTCACCGTGGTTCTGGCGTTGACTCTAGTCATTATTACGCATTGGTCGATGACGAAATGGACTAGTTAAAGTTTGATGTCGTGTTACTAAGTATTCCGGCGAGGTTGAATTTATTGAAGCCTCTGGAGACACCCTACATTTTGTTTTATGGAAGAGAGGACATTGGCAGATCAAGATCTTCAGATGATGTGGTGCTGCAGGTTTTTCTGGGTTTTCCTGCAGCTAAAAATGCGAATGCGCCACTGGAATCAATGAAGTCGCGCTTCTTCAACAAGTAAAAAGTGTCAAACAATCGTAAAAATACATATACAAACGTCATACAATAAAAAAAAGGAAAAATTCAGCCAAATTATAAAAACATTCTTGAATTAAAAATATTTTCAGCTCCCTACTGAATTCATTGAAGGTGCGTGACCCCTTTATATATTTTGGCAGCTTATCAAAAATTATTTTTCACATTACAGATGGCGAGTCTGATGAAATTTTGTGAAACGAAGATGAAATTTTGTGAAAGAAATATGCAAATTTGATTTTTGCCTCGTATTCTCATTATGAACATTCGAGTTCAGCAAGAACTTATCTTTATTCTTGAAAATATATAAGGATAATTGAAAAATATAAAGATTAAATTGCCTGAATAAATTTCTACAAGAAAAAATGCTGCAAAATTCATTTCTGTACTATGAATACTTGAGATGTCATTGTAGAGTTACCCCACATGCATATGCCATATCGCAGCCTGGATGCTACCTGGGAGTTGTTGTTTCGTCAAGAAATTCGTTATATTTCTGAATAGATAACACAAGGAATTTGCTAGATAGGAGTTCACAGTGTTTTCTCAAATTCAGGAATGAATCCATAGTGACACCTAAGAATTTAGTTTCTTCTGAATTTTCGAGTATTAGGTTGCTGATTAGGATATCAGAGCATTGTTTCTGGCGATTGTGGAATCTTATAAATTGCTGCTTTGCTCGATTCGAAAAAAAAAATATATAACAGTTTGAAGACTTGAACTCCTTGGAGATCTGACATGACCAAATTGGCATTCATCAGTTATGCTGACCAAAAAGTAAAAAATGACGTATTTCCTTATGCATCTGGCTCCGTATGGGTTTTACAGGTTTTTTTGGTGATCTCTCATTCTCCCTTCATGACGTTGATCACCATCCATTTTATGAGGAATGTGCCATTCTTGAAAATATATAAGGATAATTGAAAAATATGAAGAGTTACAAGAGTCATAACCTTAAATTGTCTGAATAAACTCCTAAAAGAAAAAATGCTTCAAAATTCATTTCTGTACTATAAATACTTGAGATGTCATTGTAGAGTTACCCCACATGCATATGCCATATCGCAGCCTGGATGCTACCTGGGAGTGATTTAAAGAAAGTAGTTGTTGTTTCGTCAAGAAATTCGTTATATTTCTGATTAGATAACACAAGGAATTTGCTAGATAGGAGTTCACAGTGTTTTCTCAAATTCAGGAATGAATCCATAGTGACACCTAAGAATTTAGTTTCTTCTGAATTTTCGAGTATTAGGTTGCTGATTAGNCGTATCACGAAGTGTTCTGGCGATGCATTGAATTTATGTGAGCCTCTGGAGACACCCTACATTTTGTTTTACAAGAGAGAGGACATTGTTAGATCAAGATCTTCAGATGATGTGGTGCTGCAGGTTTTTCCGAGTTTTCCTGCAGCTAAAAAAGCAAATGCGCCACTGGAATCAATGAAGTCGCCTCGGAGCGCCAATTAATTTTTATTATTGTTGTTTTTATTTTATTTTTGTCAAAGAAGTATACACATCATATATAAATCTAAAGAAATGAACTTTAAACGTTCAAGCCAGTCTCAGATATACACAGATATACACAGTAGGTTGAATGGACTGACGCCTATCAGAAAACAACTACTCCCCTGGCTAATACCCCGATGGGCGTTGGATTATATACGACAGGAGACAGTGGAGTTCATTTCTTTAGATTTATTTACTACCAGTCTTCAAGCATAGCCAAGTGACTGATAAGAAACATCATATATACACAGTATTGAGATCAATTTGAGGTGTTCGTGACTTGGCGTATTTGATTCCACTAAGAGCGATACATATCAGAAATACGCGACGAATTGTGGCTGTCCATCGTTTTGAGGTTCAACTGAATACATCTCTAACTCCAATGTTTGGAAACTCTCATTTGGAGAACTGTGTTTATGTGAAATGATCCTCCTCGAATTAATTTAATCACCAGAGATTCAAATCCAACGTGAATCGTTACTTTCGCATAGGCACCGCTCTTGGACCGCTTCAAGGATTTTCCTGTAGTGCTTGTATTTTGTCTTCAAAAAAAAAATACATCGTGTATACACAGTATTGGGAACAATTTGATAGTTGGTCCGAAAACTTTCTCGACATTCGTTCATAATAAGAATAATAGTACAAAAATTCTGAGCGAAATCAACCCACAATCAATTGTGTACAATCAATTCAGTACGTTTTTTGAAAATGTTTATTCACTACCTCATATCGAAGAAGATAACGTTGTTTTCAACTTCGAATATAATAGTTCAATAGATATTAGTGAAGAACTAATAACAGAGATGAAAATATTAGAAGCTGAATCGAAATTAAAAAACAAGATGACCTCAGGTCCAGATAAAATTTCTTTGTTTCTAGTGAAAGACTCTCTGAAAATATTAGTTTATAAAACAAATAGCCGTCAACAATGATTACGATAGTAGTAGTCTAATATATTCTTTATTATCAAAAAAGTTATACAGCCAAGTTTACCCAATTGGAAGAGAAGAATATAAAAGTTATAGAACCTTAACCCATTTAGGCCAACCCACCACAAATATTTGAGATTTTCTGCACAACAGAGGCAAGTAGAAATGTTGTACACAGACTTTTCTAAAGCATTCGATAGGATTAACCATGAGTTACTCATTCGTAAACTTTCTTGCATGGGTTTCAATAAAATTCATTTGCAACTTTTGGAATTATATTTTAGCGGACGCAATCAATATGTATACTATTATGGCTTCTCTTCAAATATGTACATAACCACTTGCGGAGTTCCGCAAGGATCTTATCTTGACCCCTTATTGTTTTTATTATTTATTACCGATTTGTGCAACTCGTTAACCTGAAACAGATTAATGTTTGCCGATGATTTGAAACTCCACACGTCTATAAAAAGTTCAGATGACTGCATTATTTTGCAAAACCAGATTGATTCATTACAAGAACCGGCTCCATTTCAATATATCTGAATGTGAAATTGTGACATTAGGTCAACTATTCAATACACTGCAATTTCCTCACCATATTGTAAACATGATATTGGAGAGAACAGATAATATCTGGGATTTAGGAGTCTATCTGACTTTCAATTACCACATCAATCACATTGTAAACTAAGCTTACCGTACTTACGTTTTTATTATAAGGAATTTCCATAATATACTGGCCCTATCCTCTCTGTTTTTCAGTTTGGTGAGTCCAAAACTAGAATATGTTTCCATAATATGGCATATATAATCAATATGCATCCGCAATTGATAGAGTTCAAATTAAATTTCTGAAATTCCTCAGTTTCACAATTATTGGAACGTATCCCCCAAGGAATTGTAATTAATTTCTAATTAGCCAGTGGGCTATGCTTGAAGACTGGCAGTAAACAAATCTAAAGAAATAAACTTTAAACTTTCAAGCCAGTCTCGGATATACCTACACAGTAGGTACTAACCAACTGCATATCCGAAATTTCGGATAGTTATTACCTCGTCCATTAGATGGAGTAACATTTTGTGGTTCGCTCCAACTCAGGAAGAGGAATGAAATACTCTGAAAGAATTCCGATTTTCAATTATGAAATATCATTGACTTTAGGTCGATGAAGGCCACTATCTTGCACTGACGAGTGGCTAATGAGCCCGAAACCGGTCTGCAAGTGTGCCCGTTCCAAAATTGAGGGTCGACTCTTTCAGTTGTATTGCCAATTGCATCTTCAGGAAATTTTCTGTGAAGATTCCTGCACTGATGCCTGTCGGATTTAATCCCACGCCCTTCGTGGTATTAGCCAGGGTAGTAGTTGTTTTCTGATAGGCGTCAGTTCATTCAACCTACTGTGTAGGTATATCCGAGACTGGCTTGAACGTTTAAAGTTCATTTCTTCAGAATTGTAATCACTCTGATCAGCTTTATGAATTCGAATTTGTAGCATTAGAGAAACGAAGAAATCAGGCATATGTTTTATTTTTGTATAAGTTAATGAATGGCAAGATATAATCTACTGCACTACAATCAGAAATTGAAATCTTTATTCCAAGAGTAGCATCTAGGAACGTAATACTTCTTTATGCAAAAGGGCACGTCTTTTGTTTCCGGAATACTGCGAATGAATAACCCAACAAATGAATATGTGAGATGAGCACACTTTTTTTTCATGTATTTCAAGCCAAAAAGAAGAAAAAATGAACCATAGCTTCCTTCCTTTAGTTTATATTTAATTTTAATTTGACTGATTTGAAATTCAAATTATCTCGCTGTTCCTGTATAATTGGTGGTATTTAATCCATCATCTTTTAGTGAGTTATCGGTGATCGTAAGAATATAAAAGGATTCCACATGTTCAAAATTAATTATCACATGTATTGCGTTCGTTTGTGAACTGTATCGCTCGATATGTACAAAACGGTGAGTGAATTCTACTTAATTTCTGTGTCAAGTCTGTTCATTATTATACAGAATAAATAAACTCACATTCTGTAGTCGTGTTTTCCAAAATTTAATATTATATTTTTTGGACAAATATTGCAATAGTACATTAAAAAAATTACAAACGTTTGTTGAAACACGTCAAATTGGAACACACGAATTTTTGAAAGATATTCGTTCTGAAAAAATTTATTCTGTGTACATATAGTTTATTCATTCCATAATGCATTTGTGTTCTTGTCTTGGGCTTTTACAGGGAAGGCTTAGATATCTGAAAGATTTTTGAAACATGTATTTTGATTTATTTTTTCAAATTCTATCATCAAATTAAGGTTTCTATATTTCTGCAAATATTGAATTAATTTTAAATTTCACTATGGAATTTAAATATTTGTTGCTGACATAGAAATATTGGCATTAACAAAAAATAGGTCAGCTTAGGTTAGGTATAAATGAGAGGAGCACACCGCAAATTCAAGAAAATGGAAACAAATTACATATCTAAGAAGAAAAGGAAACCAATAGAATCTAGAAATGAAATAAGGAACCATAAATGAAATCTGAAAATATGGAATGTAAGTGAAATCAAAATGTATATCAAGGACAATAGAAACGAACAAATTCGAGACGAGGATGTTGAAGGTAACAGAGAAACAAAAATTATGTAAAAGGAAAAAAATATTACAGGCATGAAGAGGAAGAAGAGGAAACCGATGAAATTGAAGAGGTGATAAAGAATTGAAAGACTATAAGAATAAAAGGAATATAAATTGCTTTCGCAGAAGTTATCAAGGAATTGTGGTCAGAAGATTCATCTGATAGAGCAATGAACACAGTCTCCTCAAAAAGTCAGATTCAGAGTTTTGCCCCTCGATTCAAGGGTCATGCGCATCAAGATGCCCATGAGTTCCTTCGTTATCTTTTAGAAGGTTTACATGATGACGTTAATAGAATTATTGAGAAACCTAAATCGACCTTAACGGAGATTAACGAAAAATTGAGCGACAGCGGAAAAGCGCAAGGAATTGTGGTAAGAAGATCAATCTGATAGAGCAGTGAACACAGTCTCCTCAAAAAGTCAGATTCAGAGTTTTGCCCCTTGATTCATGGGTCATGCGCATCAAGATGCCCATGAGTTCCTTCGTTATCTTTTAGAAGGTTTACATGATGACTATAATAGAATTATTGAGAAACCTAAACCGACCTTAACGGAGATTAACGAAAAATTGAGCGACAGCGGAAAAGCGCAAGTGTCATGACTGATTTATTTGAGTACATATAACTCTAAGATTGTGGATAATTTCGTGGGTCAATTAAAATTCACAATGAAGTGCACACATTGTGGACACTCATCTGTAACCTTCGATCCTTTCTGGGATTTGTCACTCCCCATTCCACAAAGAACTGACCAATTGAGTTTATCACAGTGCTTGGATTTCTTCACAAGAGAGGAAACTTTGGATGGACATGAAAAACCGACATGTTCAAGTTGCAAGGAAAGAAGAAAATGCACAAATTCTCTATCGATCTATAAGTTTCCTCGTATTATAGTCATTCATTTTAAAAGAATTTCTCAAACAGAAAGATTTAGAGACAAGTTAAATGTTGCCATTGAATTTCCTCTAGATGGATTAGATATGAACAATTATGCAACAGAAAATGTGACTCCTTGTCGTTATAATATATATGCACTTTCGAATCACAGAGGGTCTACCTACAGCGGACATTATACAGCATTCTGTAGACATGATTATACTGGCACGTGGCACGAATACAATGATTCATACGTGAGTGGAGATGCATATATCCTCTTTTATGAAAAGGAGGAAACAAGTTCGCACCTTTGAGCGTTTTGAAATGTTATTTTTGTACTGTTGATTTTAATGCTATGATGAATTAGATGTTTTAACAATGAAAAAAATATATAAATTGCTTGAAAGCAGAACAAATTAGATGGATTGGATATGTTAATCGATTTAGAAATAACTGAATTATCAACATGATATTGGATAGGAAAAAAACTGAAGAAGTACATTCGCGAAGAAAAAACTTAAGAGATTGGAGAGATAGACACTAGATAGGGAGATAAGGTACTAGGTAGAAACTGTTGAAGAGATGTAGTAAGAGAAAGCGAAAACATATTTTGTATGATATTGTAGTCAGAAAGTAATGTACAAGCCTACTAAAAACAAGCTTGTGATTTCAAAATGCCCATTGGTTTCAGATAAATACACTCCTCATCAGTCAATGAAAATGCTGAATATTTAAGAATTCATATCCTCTATGGAACTAACAGTAACAGACTATGTTTGATGAGAATTTTATGATAAACGTGAAAGGTATCAACAGAATTACGTTCAATGGACTGCTCATTGAAGATTACCCAATAAATATTCAAATAATTTGAGAGTTTGCCATTTGAATATTTGTGGAAAAAAGATTTTCACCAGAATAATAGTGACAAATATAAACAAATAAATACATCTTTCCAATCCGTTTTGCAATGAGATGCTTCTTCATATACATGGATGAAGGAGCATATCAAAAAGTTCCTAGAATATTTAATTAGAATCTCATATCCTTCTATGATTTTTTGTATATTTCAACTGAATTTCAGGGATTCCTTCTTTTTGGCTTGATAGCCATTGCAATCGCAGCAGACGAACCAGTTACGACTCCTCAAGACTACTACACGAATCAACTTTATCAGAACCAGTTTAATCCATACAACACCAGGTTCTACCAACCTAACAGATACAATCGACCGGGTTACTACAATAACGACTACCACAAGTACAACTCGGGCAGCTACTTCAACAACGATTATTATAACAAAGACTACTACAACAAAAATTATTACGATAATGAATACTATCAAAAATATAACCAAGATACTAAAAACGCCGGAATTCTCCGTTTTGTGAACGATGCTCAACCTGACGGAAGCTACAAATATGGGTAAGTTAGCCACACAAGCAAAATATTTTGTTTCTCGTGGGAGATTTAGGAAAGCATCAAAGATACTCCACATACATTATGGGGTAGGAGGAGGAGATGACAGAAGGCTCAACCCATGGAAATCAATGATGAAAAAGGCTCCCAAAATAAGGTCATTATATCAAGCAAAGTTTGGATATTGGGAGACGGACGAGGTTCATCACCTCTTTTTGAACACGTAATGAGCAGAGTGATATCCGTAGATTGAGTCTTTTGTCGAACATTAAGACGAGATGTCATTGCCTTTTCCTACTTAGGCTTGTCCTTTGAAGACAGTTCAGTCCAACAATGAATTCTTGGTTCAGCCTAGCAGAGCTGATGATACTTGTATTGGTGTTGGATGAGTAATACTTCGTTTTTTAGACTTTGCTTTGCAAATTTATTCGGTTGCGTGCGTATAAGGAGATAATAAAATGAATTTATTGGATTTGTTATTATGTCAACAATATGTTTGAGTTTTCTAGATAAAGACTTGAACTGTTGTTCTGATTTGTTGGGAATCTCTAATGAGTTTCTAATCAATGATATATATTCAATTATCAAATTTATTTTGTATCCTGCTAGTCATGGTGCTAAAAAACATATTTGCACATCCGTCTAAACGGCGGACATTTTAAACCTGGCTGATTGACTTCAACAATCGTTTCATTATCTGAAAAGGCAAGTGTTAGGTATCTAACAATATTTTATTGAAATAAAATATTCATGAATATGAGTTTCATTTGAAACGCAGAAATAAATTTCTGACTATGGCATGAGTATCATATAGTTGGAGCTTAGAGCTCTCTCTTCCAAGCAACCAACGCTCGCGTATCTATCCATAAATAACATTTTCATTGTTGGATGATGGTTCAATATCCGCATTGTATGATGATGGCGAATACATACTATCCCCCATAATCGATGTAGACTGTTGTGGTGATGATTGAAGAATGGTAGATGATATTACATGAGCTGGGAAGTCCCGTCTTATAGATGACGCTAGTCTTATTGCAGTTACCGTTTTTTCAGTTAGTACTAACCTTTAAAAGGAAGCTGTTGGAATTCGATGATATTCTAATCATAAGTTTGCGAGTTATTGTGCTGACTGACACTACTTTCGTTATTTTCAAAACAATGGATCAGATACAATTTCGTGTTTAGACTGCTCCTTGATGGGAAAAATACCGTTCAAGCGCAGCAATAGCTTGAAAACTGTTATAAGAACTTCGCTTCATCAACAACAACAATTAAACGTTGGTTTGCTGACTTCAAACGTGGTCGAAGAGACACCGATGATGCAGAATGCAGTGGACGTCCATATGGGGCAGTAACATCAGTCATATGTCAATTGAAACAATGGCAAAACTAGATGAATTGAACTATGAATTGCTCCCACATCCACCGTATTCGCCAGATTTGGCTCTCAACGAAGCTAATTTTGAACACAAAAAAAGCGTTTTTTTTTCTTAGGCCCGGAACTTTTCATCCCATGGAATATGGAAGTCACAAGAGAGCTATTTTTTTAACATGCACATCTGTTTTGAAAATACCTCGGGCAAATATCGGTGGATGAATAGACGGCGATCTTTCGAATGGCCAGCAAGTTCACCAGATTTGCTTTGTGACTAGAAATAATGGACAATTTTTGAGTTTTCTGCAGCATATCACTACCCTATTACTGAGTATTCAATAATTTCAGGTTGGCTCCTTCACTTTTTCATTGTTTCATGTATATGTGACTTTCATAATCAGTACATTTTGTGTTTTGAAGACAATAATTGCTTTTCATAGATATATTTGTCAGAATTTCTTCCTTGTTAGTGACATACTCAAAACGAATTATCGGATACAACAACAGTAAACGTTTCTTCGATGACATTCAACTGATAATACTAGTTCCCTTATCAATTATTTAAAAAATATTGTAAATGATATTCCGAAACATAATTATTGCATAAGAATTTGATACATGAAGATTTCAACGACTTCATATGAATAGAAATCCTATGTCACTGTAAAAATAATTAGACTCTGTGATTTGCGTGGACAAATTATTCGGTAAATAAATAGGGAAAAATGAGATTTCCTCAAAATTATTCATTCATCAATTCTTTTGTTTCACTTTCACAGATTTGAAACGCAAAATGGTATTGCTGCTGAACAGCAAGGAGTCGTCCGAATTATAGGAGACCAAACAGCTCCAGTGGTTGTCCAAGGGTTCTATCGCTACACTTCTCCCGGAGGAATACCTGTCGAGGTTAGATACACAGCAGATGAATTCGGATATCACCCCCAAGGAAGTGCTATTCCTGGACAAGGGCATGGACTTACCTACAAGAGTGCTGTGATCCCAGAAGCAGCAGCTCAACAGAAGTGATTTATAGTATAAGCCACGAATTGTGATCCTACAAGTTACCTACACTATTAAATAGCTTTCACTCTATATTATGGAGTCCATTTTCCGGATTGTTATTCAATATATTAGTGTAGTGTGCAATAAGCTTGGTTTACTAAAACTTTTTAGAGGTTTAATATTTCAAAAAATGACAATGACGTATTTCCTCACGAAGACACCATCCATGGGTCCAACCACGATGATAAAAAAAACCACTGGTTATTCATTCAATCATAAATCAATAATTTTGATGAATTGGTTGAGATGGTGACATTGTGATTTTTACGAGAAGTGGTATGCCTAATCTATTCAAAATGTTTCTGGATATTGGTTGACAGCGACCGCGCAAGCTTTGCACGGGTGCCAATGCCTCTAAAAATATAGCCTTACGGAGAAACAGTGATGAAAAGGTAATTTTTATAAGTAAACGCTCCTATTTTACCCCCACGGAGGCGCCCCAGTTATAATATTCAAAAATTATGTTTTAGTGAGCATCTGAGACGCAAGCAGCACCTATATACCAAATTTTAGCTTCCTAGGACTTACCAGTACGGAGAAAGAGACACTACTGGGGCACTCCCCTAGGGATAGATGTGACGCGTTTGAATATGAAAATTATCTTTTCATCATTGTTTCTCCGTACTCCTTCATTTTCGGAGGCTGACATTTTGTATGTAGGTGTGTTTTATGTTGTAGATGTGCAATAACGAAGGATTTTTAAATATTTCAAGTGTTCCTGCGGAAGTTTGTTTTAAAACGTTTGTTTATTGTTAATCTTGTTCATTTAACATTTATGTTTGGGTCAATTTTCCTGTTTAACCCTGTATAAAAGACAATTGAGAGGTAGATTTGGAAATGAAAAGTTGTTGTTGACGGTACGAAAAAATTATCTTCGCATTTCTTCATATTAAACAAAACCAAAGTCTTGTCCAAGTCGAAAAGTAAAACCAAGTCAGATATACCGAGTGTTAGGAATAACACGTTAAAAGGTAAGACCTTGTTAGTCTTTAGCTCGCACAAGTTTCTCGACTTCTGAGAGTTGTCGTTCGTATGGGGGCGACAGCTGATTAACGGAAAAACATTTTAAACAGACAGAAGACGCCAGCCGCAAAGGAAAAAGCGCGGTCGGTAGCCAAGCGGTTCGACGTGGGTGCTTGGTTCACTCAGTCAATCGGCCGATGTGTCTGTCGATGGTTCAAGCCGCAGACTGAATGATCGATTATCACTTGCTATTGTCCAACCCGTGTTAGGAATCACACGTTGAAAGGTGAGATCTTGTTAGTCCTCAGCTAACTTAAGTTTCGATTTCTGAGGGTTGTCGTTCGTAGGGGCGCAATAGCTGGTTACAGGAAAAACATATTTTAAAACATATTTATCTTATATGTGCCCATTATGTGATCAATATGGCCCCCTACAGCATGTGCTTTGAATGAGTACTGTCGAGATATTACAGATTAAAATGCAGGGACATCGCGGTGTCGGCGGTACCGGGTGATTATACAATGTGTAAAAACCATATGGAATGAATTCATTATTTAAGTTACTGTACAGATAAAAAAAATGAAATACATCAAATGTAAATTACAATTTGACACTCTTCAACATAAAAATGTCACCCCTAATTGAGCATCTGAGACGCAAGCAGCACCTATATACCAAATTTTAGCTTCCTAGGACTTACCAGTACGGAGAAAGAGACACTACTGGGGCACTCCCCTGGGGATAGATGTGACGCGTTTGAATATGAAAATTATCTTTTCATCATTGTTTCTCCGTACTCCTTCATTTTCGGAGGCTGACATTTTGTATGTATGAATACGAAAAAGAACTATGGGTGTTAACGAAGTAGATGTTCAAAATGTTCACCGCGAACGTCTTGGCAACACCTCAAATAAAACTGTCTTTCAACATTATTAACATATCAGGCGTGTGTTCTTCTCTCATCCAGTGATGATTTTCCGTCGACCAGTGGCGGCAATACACTCATCAGAAAATATAACGTCTTCTAATTGAATGATATTGTTATCCAACATGTCCATCATTTGCTCACAAAAATAAGATTTTCTATCAATATCGTCTTCCATGAGCTCCTAAGTATAATTTCTGTATCTGTAGAGTAGTGAGGGTGAGTGTAAGCCCACGCACTTAGGCCACATGTGACCCATTGTACATCCTCCCGAGGAGTTGTCCACCTAGGTCATCGTCCATCCTGTCCTTTCCAGGAAGGTGGACAGGTCGCTGGGAGACATCTCCTTTATATCGGCAGGTGTAGGCCAAGACTCGCCGAAAACACACTCTCTTATTGACGATAACTCCGGGCACTCGCACAGGACATGCCTGACAGTCTCATCTTCCTGTTCACACATCCTACATAGAGGTGTGTCCACTAGCCCCAAATTATGTAGGTGTTTCCTTAGCTGACAGTGGCCAGTCAGAAATCCTGACGTAGATTTTTCCTGGTCATCGCCAGATATTTCTTCGGCGCCAGCTTCCCAGGGTCGCCCAAGGTGATCCTGGCAAGATTGCATCCTTTGATTTCATCCCATCTCTTTAAGGATTGAGCATGGGTGTAACATTTGATTAGTTCTGCAATTGTCGAAGTC